AATGTCGCCGAGGTTCTCCTCAACAAAGGCGCCAATATGGATATCATGAATCATTTTAATAATACACCTCTTCATTATGCTGCTATAAATGGTAATGTTGAATAGATATTTTCGCAAAATAAAGAATCGTTTTGATCTTTTTCATCGATCTAAATTATTTCTAAGGTCACAAGAATGTTGCTGAACTTCTCATCAAAAAAGGAGCCAAAGTTGATATTAGAAATGATGCGAATCTAACACCTCGTCAGTTAGCTGTTAACAATGGTACTGCTGACTAAATTAAATACCGCTTTGATCTTTTTCATTGATCTGTATTATTATTTTTCAGATCACAATGATGTCGCTAGACTTTTTATCGGTAAAGGAAACCGAATTAATATTGAAGAACTATTGGAATAGATTCAATATGCTGCCAACAATAGTAATATTAATGTTGAATATTTTACTTTTCCGTACACTTTGTTAAGGGAATTGAAATGGAAAGATTTGTTCAATCTACGATTAAATTTTAAATAAAACACCTTAAAGTGACTTTGCTTTTCCAACTTTCAAACATAAATTAATATGAATATTTATTTATGAACGAAATTTTGGTTCGGATGCATTTCGACATTTGTCATCCTCAGCGAGTATCAAATTACACTGGACTCAGCTCTCTGTGAGTGAGAGAAAAAAGAAGAAAAGTATACACAGAAAGCAAAACATGTAACAATGTGTTGTGGTGCGAGCGCACGCCAAAAACTTACAACAACTAAAACAATAAAACTCGGTGTAACCGAAACAGCTACTTGAAGTAAATTTCAATCGATCTGAACAGTGGTGACCGTATTGGTGCTTCCATCGTGTTCATTGCGATGCTTCTGTTTAAATACATATAGATGCTTTCGTATGCATCGAGTTTGTGTGCCTTGTTCACTTGTTTGATATTGCTCGCATCCCATTGTGTGTGGTTGTTTTCTAGCGCGTGTAGTGCCACAGCTTATTTTGTTGCTGAGCTTGAAAATCAAATGACGTCTGTCGAACGA